AGGGTGGCAAGGGTAAGAATGGGCTCCCACTTAATCAAAGGGCAAAGATTTTTCAACTCATTTGCTCTCTATTCTCCTTTCAAGTTCTGAATGAAATCAATCCACGGTCTGTTGTTACAAGTGCCAAACAAGATGAGACTATGACTCAGTTTCTGGGGAAGCTTGGTAAGGATTGGTTAAGAGAGAGGGAAAATAGGGAAGGACTAAGGTATGGAATTTTCTAGGAGGCTAGAAGGGGGTGAAAGGAAATGTGGGACAAAGCAGAAGAACTGAAATATACAGAATGATGACCTTTCTTGCCTCCCCTGTAGCCTCACAGGAGCACAGAGAGCCTATGAGACCTGAAATCATATTCTTGCCAAGTGTGGATTTTGGTACTTCCTTCCTTTTGCTTTGCCTAATCCCCCATCCTAGTGTTCCAACCCTTTCTCCTATTTGCACTCCTATCATCACAAATCTCCCCTCAGCCTTATCTCATCCTAAACCTTTATGCGTTCCATTGACCAGTCTCCCCAAGATCAAGATCGCTCCTGCTCCCCACCCTTTAATAACCTGCATTTATTGTGAAGTTTCTTCTTAGTTAAGTATATATGGAAATGAGAGCTTTCCCTGATAAAAGGAAGTAATGGTACTTTTCAGATAGCTTTTATTGTTGGAATTCTCTCCCTTAAGTCAAACCCTTAATTATTTTAAAGAAAAGAAAAAAGAAAAAGGGGCCAGCATGGTGGACTCCCACCTGGCACTGGACTCCCACATGGTCCACTGCAATTCGAGTTCCAGACCTGACAGCTTGCTTTCTCACTTTCCCTCTCTCTCTTTTGCTCTGTCCTTCTCTGGTCAAATTAAAATAAATAAATAAAGTTAAATAAAATAATTCTTTAAAAAGAAAAAAAGACCACTGCCTCAGTGACATTGATGATCCATAAGGCACTTTCATAACCTTCCCAAGAGTGCAAAAAAGGGCAATGAATATTCTAATGAAATTTTAGGGAATTAGGGACCAGCAGATGGTATGCATAATGGTTACATTGCTGGACTCCCACGTAGTTGATCATGGTTCAAGTCCTGAACCTGGCAGCTTAAAACTCATGTTGGGCGTGTGTGTATGCATACCCAAAATCCCAAAAAGAGAATGGAGGAGAAGAGATTGTGATGTGGTTATCCCCTCTGAGGGATGATGTCTCACTTGCTGTCTCTGTGTCTCCCATGAGTGCACATACCATATAGCAAAAATCTCTCTTAAAAAACACACACGCACACACTTTTTTTAGGGCATTAGCATTATAAATTATTTTATTAATACAATTTTTGACCAAAAATATTACATAGCAGACAGATATCTTACTCTCCTGAGCCATTGATATTTCTCAGGTTGTGTTCTCAGCCAAACATTTTATATGTAGAATGAAAGAAGACAGAGACAGAGAAGGAAAGTGAGAAAGCGTGGGAGATGGTCATGCCACAATCCCTTCTCCGTTTCTCCTTTTGGGATTTTGGGCTTGCATTCACATGCACCTGGCATGTTTTTCAAGCCATGGTCTAGGACTCAAGCCACATAGACCCACATATTCAGTCATGTGAAACCCAGCCACCTCAACCACCACACCACCAACTGGCTGGCTATTGTCTCATTCTTCTTTTTCTTTTTTTTTTAAGAATGTTTTTTTCTTAAAGAATTATTTAATTTAACTTTATTTACTCACTTCTTTGTAAAATTTTACCAGAGAGGGATAGAAAGAGAAAGAGAGAAGTAAAGTGAAAAAGCAAGCCGCCAGGTTTGGGACTTGAACCGTAGTCAGCCATGTGGGAGTTCAGTGCCCCTAACCACCACACTAGCTGCTGGTCCCAAGAATTATTTATTTATTTATTTAACCTTTTTTTTTTTTTGGAGAGATTTTTGCCATAGGACACGTGCACTCGCCAGAAAGACAGAGACAGAGAGATAGAAAGTGAGAAATCACCCTCCCCCCGGGGTCCTCGCCGCAACCCCTTTTCCTCCATTCTCTTCTCAGGATCTTGGGAACACATGCACACGCACCCAGCATGAGTTTAAGCCACCGGGTCTGGGACTCGAACCGCGGTTGACTACATGAGAGTCCAGTGACATAACCATTATACTAACTGTTGGTCCCCCCAAAAATTATTTATTTAATTTAATTAATTAATTTTAATTTGACAGAAAGGGAAAGTGAGAAAGCAAGCTGCCAGGTCCGAGACTCAACCCACAGTCAGCCATGTGGGAGTTCAATTCCTCAACCACTGTACCACCTGCCAGCCCCTATTGTCTCATTCTTAAAATGTGAAAAAAATTGGGCTATAAGACCTTCCCCTCCCCTTCCTCTCCCAAATAGGTCTGGAGATAAGCAAACAGCGCCTTCTTTCTGGAAACTATTCCTTCATCCCAGACTCCATGACTGCCACTGAGAAAATCCTCTTCCTCTCTTCCATTATTCCCTTTGATTGCCTTCTCACGGTGAGATGGTTTCTGGGGGGTTAAGAGCTGGTATGTGGCAGGTTGGAGAAAGGCACAAGTACCCCAGTACTTAGGTTGAGATCTGGGAGGTACTGGCCTAGCCCTGGAAAATAATAGACTTTCTAGTGTTATCCAGCCTCTAGGACATTAGGGTTTACCCCATCTCCACTGCTGATCACCTTCCAGGTTCGAGCACTTGGAGGGCTGCTCAAGTTCCTGGGTCGGAGAAGAATCGGTGTTGAGCTGGAAGACTTTAATGTCAGCGTCCCCATCCTCGGTTTTAAGAAATTTGTGTTGTAGGTGACTCGCCTTAACCTCATTGTGAGGTGGGGTTGGGAAGCCTGAAAAGACAGAATGGGCATGGGGTGGTTCGTGAAGTAAGATGCTCTAAGATACACAGGAGAACCGAGAGCACGCTCTGGGGAAAAGTTTGGGACAGTATTCAGAGAAGTAGGGGAGAAAAAGATGAAACATTGGAATGAACTCACCTCTTATACCCCAGCCACCTTCCTTTCCACTTGTTTGTATCCTCAGGACTCATCTAGTGAGCATAGATCAAGACACATACAGGTAAGGAGGTGGAGGCAGGCTGCGGTCTCTGGGCAGGGAGAAGGATTAAGTTTAATGCTCTAATAATCCTAATGAGGCTCCGCTTTCTCTAATCCTGTGACTATTAATATCTCTTTTCCTGAAGGAAAAGAAAAGGGGGTGGTGAGGGCTAGAGAAGTAGAAAAGCACAAAGGTATCACACTTACTTTCTTTTTCTACCCCGCCCCTAGGTTTTTGCCATAGGGTGCATGCTTCACTGGAGAGAGGCAGTGAGAGGGAAAGTGATAAGTCATCCCCCAGGGGGATGGCCACACCACAATCACTTTTCCTTTCTTCTTCTCCCAGGATTTTGGACATACACATACACCTGGCATGATTTTCAGTCTGTCAGGTTGCAGGCTCAAACTTCAGTCAGCCACATGGAAGTTGGGCACTTTAACCACCATACCATCTGCTCCTCTCTACCCTCCTTTTATAAAGAGAGAAAATGAGGCACAAAAAAGTAAGGGACAAACTTTACATCAAGATTTGGGGCTAGCCAGGTGGTGCAGTGGTTAAGGCAACTGACTCCCACACCACTGACTCCATGGTTTGAGTCCTACACCCAGTTGTCTGAGAAATACACTGGGCTCATGTGCAGGGTTGCCCAGAATCACTAGAGAAAAGTGGAGGAAGAGGTATTGCAGCAGTCGTTCCCCCTGGGAAGTGATTTCTTACTCTTTCCTTACCATCTCTCTCTGGCAAATGCATGTACCCCATGTCAAATTAAAAAAAAAAAAAAAAAAAGATTTGATTATGAGTGCTGTTTCCCACGTTGCTGACCACTTTGAATCCAGACTACAATGGTCTGAAAAATATGCCAGGTGCATATGTGTGTGTGTGCCCCAAATCTTGATGGAATGGAGAAATGGAGGAAAAATGATTGTGGCATGACTACCTCCTTGGGATGTTTTCTCTCACATGTCCTCTGAAAATTAAAAAAAAAAAAAAGTTAAACAAAATAATTTGTTCACAGGATAATTTATTTTTCAATTCCCACTCCATTTTCTCAGTCCTTAATTCTCATTCCCTTTGAAAATCCAAGTTACGCCAAACTCCTTCATTTCTCCCTGACAGTGTTCTACAGATTTTTAAAAGTGAGTCTCATCCCTCGGTGTACAAAGTGGCCAGTGGACTGAAGGAGGGGCTCAGCCTCTTTGGTAGGTGTGCCCCATCCCTCTTCTTTCATTTCAGAAACATTCTAGAAAGCAAGCTGGCTCCCAACCTTTCTCTTCCTACTTCACTCTCATTGCTAGATGGGTCTTCTATCCCAATCCAATTTTCTTATTCTCTTTATACCCTCTTTGAGCTTGAGTATCTCCCACACCCTGTAACTGTATATCATTTACATATCAGCTGTCACTTTACCAGTTTTATGTTCATTCCTTGAGTTTATATGAATGTTTCTACCATTAGGGACTTTGGGAGACCCAATGTACAGAGGAGAGTTATGTAATTGAGTAACTACTCATTTGATTTGCATAGTCTTTATCAGTTGTCTCCAGCTTTAGGACGCATTAGACACATTGACCCAAGTATCCACATTGGTTTATTTTGCATATCTTAGGTTAGTCTAATTTTTTTTTCCATTACAACTTGTTTTTATTTTACATTTTTCCACAAACATTTACTTTACATAGCAAAGAATTTTAGCTCATACTCCATAATTCTTGACAGTTTACAAACAACTTTCAAAGTTTCAAAATACTGAATTTTAAAGATAATGTTCAAAAT